CTAACTCGACGAATTCATTTTTCGAATTTTATTTATAACACAATTTTTGTTTAGAACTGCCGAGTACCTATATGCTKAAATATTACCATAATATTATGCCTGATAAATTAATAAAGATCGCGGGTGCGACCGCGCGCCTTTGTCGTTGCAATGTAGATTAAGTTTAGTATGATCATAATCTGCAGTAATAAAATGAATGTATTTTTCTCGCMCCTAGAGATGGTATACTATCTCAAGTTAAGCAAAATAGTTTACTTTTAACGGCAATAGTGTTCCTTAAAAACGTTAAATGGGCCATAATTTAACAGTATCAAATTAAACAGGTTAAGGATAAACACTGTGAACAGGCAGTAAGATAAAATAATAAAGATGTTAGTGTTTTTCTTCAAGCAATTTAGGCCAATACGGAGTTAGTATGCGWGCACATCAAATACCATTAAATGGTGGACGCCAGGACGCGTGAGGGAAAGAGTCGTCTTTGCTCCAGGAAAACGCATTAAAAGTAAACTCCGTTGAAAATTTATCATTTCTGCAGCTATTTTCTCCACATTTTTATTTACGTATCCATCAGGATTTCAAGTTAAGTTTGCATAGCAAGAAATATAGTGTTTACATACATTAAATTTCGAGGAAACATATCCCGAGAGAACGTTGAATCACCTCGCCGTCAATCAATTTCTATTCACTGCACATTACATTGTGCATCTAGTAGAGACCGRAGATGACGATGAAAATAGAGACGCGCTAAGAACACGGATAAAAGTTTAGWGGCAACAAAAAGGGTTTTATGTGAGTTTGTTTGAATTATTTAAAGCACCTTACGTCAGACCAATGGTTTTGCTCGTTAAACCAATTCCGCACGCACTTTTACGGTAAATAAATTACCAGTTAATTGGTTATTATATTATTATTATGTACCTACATAAATCTGTAAAATTTAAATAGAAAATGAGCCCCGTTAAAAGTATAGATCACATACCAATTTGATATATTCATGATTTATAATTTTGATTTTGATTCACGTCTTGTAATGTAACGCATCATGAGACACAACACACAAGTTTGATAAAATGAAACGTGATGAATGAAAAGTGATAACATACCTACTATAAAATCACTTTTCCTGTATGCAGTGGAAAAATCTTAATTTAAAGTACGAAACATAACAACTCAAAAATATTTCCATTTTGCTTTCTCGGTGCAACAAAAAGTTAACAATTTTTGCTTAATTAAAAAAAATATATATGAAGTAGCGTTCTGTCGTTGTTTGTATTTTGCCAGTTTACCTAGTGTAAACTTGAATAATTTATCACATTTAAATTTAAAAATTTAAGTTATGATTTATGAAAAATCGAATAGCCTAATCTTTACAATATAAATAAATAAATAACAATTAATATCAAATTTAAGAATAATATTTATATTATAATAATCATTTAATTTTTAGTGGGCTTTAATACTTATACAAGTATATAGTATATATTATATTTTATTTTATTTTATTTTATTATAAACACATGAGTACATGAGTATGAAAAATTATTTTTTAGTTATGTAAGCATTTTTTAAGTATTAATAATTTTATAATGTAAATTTTGTTTTTAGTAGAATAATTAAAAAAATGTATTAGTCTTAAATTTATAATTACGTATTATTTACATGAATGAGTCTACACTTAACAAACCCATTTCTTTGTAAATATTATAACATTTTCGAATGAATTTTTTGAAATGCAATAACTTAAAAAAAAAAATAAAAACATTATCCGTAATACAAAGTATCATCGTGAGTTTTTGAATATGTCATTATAAAATATTTTTTTTATATACTTCAAAAATCAATATAATATTATATTATAACTTAATTTTAATCAGATTAAATTCCTATAAAGTATTTATAGGTTATTATTGTACTACGAGTCTATGAATGGTCGTAAAATACCGCTGAAAGAAATAATTTTAAAATTAATTTATTAAAAAATTWAATTATGCTAACAAATTTAAATTTTAAATKGTCAAAGTTCACTGATTTATTTTTACATCTCATTTTAAAATAAGTTGCTAATACCAAGGGCATTTACGAATATACAGAATGTTTTTATTACATAAACCGTGACGTTAAAGTGCCACCTAGTAAAGCTATTATATTCAGTGGTCAACCACGAGAATGGTAAATTTTTTTTATTATTATTTTCCCTTTAAGGCCCTGAGGTAGTTTGAGTACCCTTGTAATCCGTTAAGCTCTATAAATCCGGGCACAATTAACGGGATGGACACCGTGAGTGCCTCGGGTCCTTACCCCCTGTCTCATATACTTCCCACAGGAACCAGAGGGACACTCATTACATATTCTAAACTGGTCTGTCTGTCCCGAGGTGATTGAATTAATCGTTGGTAAGATGCCCTTTCAAAACGACCTATAGCACCTGACCTGTTTTACAATATATTTCCAAAACCCTAAGTATACCTAAAAGTCTTGTTAGTGTATAGATTACGCGTGTTATCGTTGATGAGAGGGTAAAGCGCTAAGATAAGGAATAATATATAACAATATATACTTAACTCTGACTATATAATACACATCAAAATTATAAATACGAGTAATCCAAAAGCCAACATTTTAAGAAAACAAACAGTTATGGACGTTAGGGTGTAGGCGTTAAGTTTAACCCAAAATCTAAAATCCAAATATATATAAGCAATAAAATATTTATGGATATTAATATTAATATTAATATTGTATGTATACATACAACCTAGCTTAAATTTTAAAAAGGATACATTTTTATTATTTGAAATTCGATCTCATGATGGGATYACTATTTTAAAAGTTAAAAATATATTAATAAACTTATAGTACATGTTATGCATTCAGCGTGCTTGACTGGCCATGGTAATATTCTCGACGGTATTATCATTGTATTCGAAAAAATGATTCCATGGATAGTTTTGTTAAAAATTTTAACATAAAATGGATATCAAACTACCAACGTTTATATATAATTTTAAAAATTGTCTAATTAATAATAAACACTAGGTTCAATATTGTATCTATTTTATGTTTTTGAAAAATCATTTTTAAGTATAAAAATACT